CCACATCCCTGCTCCCAGGGCCACCTGCAGGACGCCGGCCCCCACCCCAGCAGACGCCGGAGAGAGATGAGTAGCAACAAAGTAAGTGTCACTTCACTTCTCCCCGCCTGAGCCTCTCACTCTCCGCCGTGGAACGAGCGCCCTCGCGCCTGCCTCAGACCCACGCCGCCATGCTTCTCTCCTTCCCGCCAAAAACCAGCAAATGCCTAGGCGCCCGGTTTGATCCCTGCTTTGGCCACTGATCTGCTGGGTGGCTTGGGGCAAGCTCCTGCCTGTCTCTGGGCCCAGGGTCAGCTCTGCCCTCCTAGGTTTGCCTGGTCTGTGCGTGGTAAAGGACCAGCTGTGGTGACCGTGGAGGACTGTGCAGGAGACCGTGGGACAGGGGTGGGGAGCGGGAGGTGGGAGGGACAGTGGCCAGAGTCAAACAAGATGTGACACAACCTTCACATCATCCTGAAGATGTCAGGATTCATTCATTCATCCTTGCTTTCTTGAGCACCTACTGTGTGCCCAGCTCTGCACACTCCTTCTCTAGAAGCTTCTGCAGCCTTGGCAGAGGAAAAGTTGTTTTTTTTTTTTCTGAGTTGGGGTCTTGCTCTGTCACCCAGGCTGGAGTATGGTGGCATGATCATGGCTCACTGCACTCTCAACCTCCTGGGCTCAGATGGTCCTTCTGCCCCAGCCTCCCAAGTAGCTGGGACTGCAGGCGTGTGCCACTGTGCCCGGCTGATTATTTTTGAGTTTTTTTAGAGATGAGGTCTCACTGTGTTGCGCAGCCTGGCCTCTTCTCCTGGGCTCAGACAGTCCTCCTGCCTTCGCCTCCTGGGTCGCTAAGACTGCAGGTGTGTGGAAGAGTTTGTTTTTTTTTTTTGAGTTGGAGCCTCACTCCGTCGCCCAAACTGGAGTGCAGCGGCCGCTCCCGGCCACCGCAGCCTTGACCTGCTGGGCTCCGGCGATCCTTCCACCTCAGCCTTCCAAGTAGCTGGAACTACAGGCATGCGCTACCACGCCCGGCTGATTTTTGATTTATTGTAGAGATGAGGTCTCACCAAGTTGCCCAGGTGGGTCTCGAACCCGCGGGCTCCGGCAATCCACTCACCTCAGCCTCCCAAAGGCACGGGGTTACAGGCTGAGCCACCGAGCCCAGATGGGAAGAGTTTAATGTAAAGAATTATCAGCCCTAACAGGGCCTAGGAGTAGCGAGGGTTTGGAACTGTACGGAATGCAGGAATAGCAGGTATCAGTCACAACCTCCCCAAAAGCTGACATCCCGGCCACGGCCCCTGGATGATTCCAGTGCAAAACTGCCTTAGAAGGGGAAGCTGCTGGCCTCTGGTGCTGCAGGCAGGTGGGTGCGCTGCAGGAACCTGAGAGGTGTGGCCCAGCAGGAGCCAGGGTGGTCTGCCTGAGTGTTGCCAGCCGCTGGCACTGCTGGCTTCCAGGCCCTGGGGAAGATGCCCTTGCTGGGAAAGCCACACGCTCTGCAGGCGCCCCCAGCAAGCCCACCTGAACCAAGAAGGAAGCCCTGTTCCTTCTGTTGTGTCTCTCCAGCGCCCTCTAATTGGTAGTGGAAAACATTCCAGGGGCCCAGATCCACTTCCGCAGAGCAGGCAAAAAGGGTGAACTTGGAGCTGAGAGTTACCCCTGGGGAAGAGGTAGACATTCACACTCAGATGTCCACTGTCTCTAGACACTCCCTTAGCTGCAGCTGTAGGGAACCCTGACACCCACATCCAATTCAGATGCTCCGTGAGAGCCTGCAGGACCCAGAACCTGCCAAGGGATCTGGGATGCAGTGGGGTGTGAGGCTGACCCAGTCCCAGCGCTCATGATCCCCGTCCTCAGAGTTCATGGTCTGATTGGAGGGATGGCAGCCGGTTTACACGTAGGTAGATTTTTTTTTAAAAGCTGAGATGAAGCCGGGCTCGGTGGCTCAGCCTGTCATCCCGTGCCTTCAGGAGGCTGAGGTGAGTGGATCGCCTGAGCCCGCGGGTTTGAGACCCGCCTGGGCAGTGAGACCTCATCTCCACAATAAATCAAAAAAT